ATATACGCATCGACAATACTAAGTTACGTCGTACTAATAAATAATAATATATATATATATATATATATATATATATATAGATACAAATTTTTTTATATATACATATATTCACATGTATTTACGCGTGCATGCGTGTGTGTATGTATGTTTCAACATATGTTATATGTATGTATGTATGTATGTATCTATAATGCGTAAGTCAGAAATTACGCAATAAATTTGTATGAACCGCAAATACATATTATTATGGTAAAAATATGTACAATTCATATAACAACTTTTGTTATTTTTCTAATATACAGAAAAAAACAAGAGTTGTTTTATGTAATAGAACTACGCTATCAAAGTGCAGAATCTATTACGTATGTATGTATTTAATTTACGTTAACATATTATGTACCACTTTGTCTTACTGTGTTGAATCAAATATAACAATGTTGATGTCGATGACAATAGTAAATAATAATGGTAATGCGGTTATGCAAACGATAGTTAAAAAACTGACGATAATGCTATTAACAAAGGTATTAATGATAATGGCAATATTAAAGTGGTGGCAATGAGTATAATAGAACATGAAATATGAATCATGGTACTGATATTGATAAGAATAGTAATAACGGTATAATAAGTTCGTAATGAAATATATACACCTACATAAACACGTACATCCTCCGAGAAACCACAGTATGACTTGTAATTAATGATAATGATTTAAATGGTAGTGATTCGTATGATTAAAGAAAAAAATATATTATATTCTTGCCATATTATTTTGTATCGTAAATTTTGTTTCTCAGACTTTTAATAATTAATATATTTCTTTTAATTCCTGAATTTTTTATGTGACTAACTAAGCAGTGGTGCAATAAAATCATTCTAACAAAACAGTCTGAGTAATATAAAAATATGACATTTAAAAATTATGCACTTAATATAACACAATTGTTTAATATTCAGAATTAATTTTCTTTTTTATATTTTGGATAAATATTTATTTATATTTATAATATTTTTTAAAAAATTTTATATCAGAAAAATATTTTTAAAAAAGTAGACAATATACTTATAATATCAAAAATGAAGTTGTAAAAACTATAAATTTTTACTTTGGATAATTAATTTATAAATTATTGGAACTTCAAAAATTATACTTACACTTTTAAATTTAAGTTAAAGTAAAACAACTTATTTAAATAATTTATTCAATATATAATATATATTAAAGTTTTAAAATGAATAATATTAAATTCAGAATAAACAACATTCGTTAAATAATGTTTAACAATAAAAAAAAGTGAAAGTTTTTTATTGAAACAAAGTATAAAATATATTTGCGCATGTTCATAAAATTGCGCCGGCGCAATACATAAATATTCGAGTTTGGATTGGTTGTATAGTTCAGTAGATTTGTGAACAGCATCTAACTCTTTAGTATAGCACAGTGCATCCGGCGTGATGTTGTTATATGTTGTTTTACGTACTGTTTTATCAATTTCCTTCGGGGCAATTATACAAATTCTAATATTTTTTCTTCAAAATTCAAATATCTTGAAAGTGCAAGCTTTCCTTCCACCGGGAGCTGGTTAGTTTGTGTTTCATATTATATTTTTATAGATTTAAAATTGAAGGGCTTGTTGTTTCACTTTGTGTTATGCCGGTTAATGTCAGAAAATCTACGATATATATATATATATATATATGTATATAAGATTAATATTTTCATAATATTCGTTTTTTTAGTTCTTATATGATAATGCATTAAATTTATTCCAGTATAGTTTCTATTGTTTAGATTTTGTTTAATTTTATCGTTCATATGTATATTTTTCGTTATACTAGTTTATATATATGAATTCCTAAATAGTCAAAAGAATTGCAAATATTATATTAGATGAAAAATAATAAAAATTCTACATAGAATGTTCATATTTTATAAGTGAACATTTATTTCGCTCACATATATGATTTATCAATTCTCATTCATTCAGTTTCTCATTGGCGCGCATTTTTCGAAAACGAGTATAACTTATATGATGGTGTGGATACGTCACAGTTGAAGAAAGTTTGCAACTTGTACGTCATAGAATTCAAGTTTCCGTGACCATGTATATTATTGTAATGCGTGAGTTTCATGTCGACCTACTCAAAATCGCTGAAGAAATTAGGTGGCAGAATTTAGAAGACTTTAGGTAATTCCTCGGTCAGCTGCATATATCCACTAATCGATATTATTATCGACGCCACACTTCCCGATGTACATAAGTACATACATATGCACATATAACATCAAGTTTTATGTAAGTACTATACAATTCGCTGACATACGGAACATTTAATACCGACTAAAGTCACGCTTCCATTGAACATTCCCACGCAACCAGAACTATTTGTTGGATGCGAATGATATTGAACTTGAATGCCAAAGACCTTCGGCAAATCGTATTAGATCATTTTATAATTTATTTTGTATACAAATATGTAGTCTATATAATTTGGTGCAAAGTTTCAATGAAATTTTGAAAGTAAATATAACAAATGTTATACTCTGTTATATTCTGTTGAACAATTTAATTAAAGAATACATTTTTTTAAGATAAAAATCTTTAAATTTAACATAATTTAATAATAATTTAATGGATACATAGATATTTGAGTTTAGTTAAATAATTATAGATTTTGTATTTTTGTATCCTAATAAGCACATTAAATATATATAAATTCATCGTGTATTTTTTTATATTTTTATTTTTACGCAAATTTGATCCATTGTGTAATTTTATCATATGTAAATAATTATTATAAAACGTAATGACATTTTTAATGTTAGATTATAAAAATATTAGATATTTTTTTAATATTTTTCTTGACAAAGATAATTTTTTAATTGTTGTTGTGTTAAAATTTTTTGAAACAGAACTACCGGAAATACAAATAAAATAAACACTGCGAATTATAGGATATGTAAGTAGTTGTACGATATGCATTATTTTCGCAAATATAAGACAACGAAAATTTGAGTTCGTTGCATGTATCTAAATATGAAAATCATAAGAAATTTATATTATTATATTTTATTAAAACATTATTAATATTTTAATACAATTTCATAATTTAATTTTTTCAAAAAAATACTATTTCATACATCATTAATTGTGCATAATTACAATCTTAATTGTTCAATTTTATATCAATTTAAAGAAAAAAATTATAAATATTTTATAAAGCACACAATGTTTATATATATTTATACATTATATTTTAAAAATTTTAAAAATCGAATATATTAAATTTCACCTTAGAAGAGAATTAATTTCATTTAAGATTCAATTAAAGTATTTATATATAAATATTTTCGAAATTTATTAATTAATTAAATATAATTAATAATTAATAAAAGCAAAATGTATCGTTTGCAATGATTAACTGATTAAACCATGCAATTAAATTCTTGGCAATGAAATTTTACGTACGATAAATTGAAATTAAATAATAGTAAGAGTTTAATTACGTAACCAACAATAAGTTGTAACAATGCGCATCAGAAAGGATTATAAAGGCACAGTTTGTAATAGAATAGAAGGTAAAATTTCGAGGAGACTAATAAGAATCAATTTACATTATTTTCACCATAGGAACTCGGTTCCCTATCGATTTAACACTACCATCATTGTCTAAAAATACTCAAGGTGTACATCATGAATCTTTACATTAAACGACTATAAATCAAAAGTTTGCGTAATCGTAAAATCTTTCTATTTGTTATGTTTATTTTATTTTAGAATAGAATAAAATCTCTATTATATTAAAAATTCTCTATAAAAATTGGTTATATGATGATCTTAGTAGCAAATTTTATTTATTTACGAATAAATGAATAATTTTATTCATCTTTTTTATTTTAATGATAATTATTTGTCAAATCAAGATTTATCTAGTTTGAAATTTGATCATGAAATTTTTTTTTAATCAAAAAAAAAAAAAAATTAAGTGTTTCATTTTATATATTATAATAATTTCATTGGTCAATGACTTCGTATAAAGTAATAAGTAATTTATAGTCACGCATTGGCATGACAAACTTTTTGGAAGTTTGTGTAGTAAGTTTGTGCACTTTATTTTAATCGATAATCTCATATTCCTTGAACTTGTTGAAATAATTTTCCAAATTTGTTATTGACATGTTCTATATATATTATAATTAATATCGATCGATTCAATAATATCGAATCAAAAACAAGTTAACTTAATTATCTATTTAGAGATCATTTCTTTATGAGAGATTTCTATTAGAGATTTAATTCATTTATCTAATAGAATAATGAAATAATATTTATGAATTTATTTTATGTATTTTATTTTATATATTAATTTCAAATTTTATGTTTCAAATAGAAAAACTTATTTTAATTAAGGTATTAAATATCCAAATTATAATATAAATATAATATAACTATCTAATAATTGAAAATATTGACTATACATATGTATGGGTAATCTAATCACAAAATTGTAGTCGACAAAGTACATACGGATGATACTTCCGGTCCGGAACTACAAACAGACCATAAAATCAAGCTGCTGTAATACCAAACAAATTCATTCATTTCTTTCAAGTTTAAAACAATTTATTTATTTCAAAAAATTATTCGAAAATAAATTTAAAATAAATAAAATTAAAAATTAATAACGAAATATTTAATTATTATTCAATTTCGATTATTTTTAAAACAAAAATCTAAATAGTAATATTCTTTACTTCCTGTTTCTCTCTCCCTGTTATATACAGGGAGAATAATTTGCAACTTTCACAAAGGAAGAAGATAGCGTGATAACTCTATCAATATTTGAGTTCGTCTGCGATTATACGATCGCAGTTTCGCAAACGATTTGCATGACACAAGGTTATTGTCCTTATCAATAGCCAATGAATTCCTAGAAAAGTAAAGTTTTTGAGCATCGATGCATTCATGCATTTGTCTTTTTTTCTTTTACTATTAGCTATGTGAAAATTTACAATGTTTAAAAAATTAAAAAAATATATTTTATAAAAATTTTACATTTATTTATTTAAAAATTAAAAAAATATATTTTATAAAATTTTACATTTATTTATTTTATTTACTCCTTACATTCTATTATTATGAAATATTATTATAAAATTTTTTGTTCTAATTTCAATATAATTTATTTTAAATTTATTGATTAATAAATCAAATAAATCATATTAAAATATGTTTTTTTAATTTCTATTAATTTTATAATTATAAATTTTATAATTTATTAATAAATATATTTTATCACAGAGGATGAAATTATTCTCATTGAACATCTACCAGGACGTCGGGTACATCTTCAGGATTTTTTTTTGGTCAGATGCAAAAGATGCTCCATCATGGATAGATCAAGGGTTGACTTTTTATGAAACTAAAACAGTTCATCATACTGTAACATTATATTCATCTGCAGAAGACAAAGATAATCATAAATCACTATTTCCTGATCAAACTGATTCTACTGAACCAAAATGCATTACTTGTATTGAACCTACACCTAGATTAAATAATGATGAAAATCAAAATATTGGTATCCTTATTGGAGAAGATCCTGGACCAAGGTATTTATTTATTATTTTTATATAAATAAATTTTATGTAAAAATTAAGTTAAAATTGTATTATAATGCTTAACAGTATCTTAATAATGTATTTAATAATATATTTCGAGGTCATTAAAATTAGTGATATGTAAGTCTTTTTTATAAGTCTTTTCAAATAATTATTGTAGTTTGTTTATATAAAACATAAAAATAAATATAATTATATAAAACAAATTTTAAAAATAATATTTAATATAATCATTATTCATTACAATTTTAGTTTTTTATTTATTTATTGTAAATAATTTTTTAAAATATTGTAAATAAATTGTTTTTAATTTTTTAATAAATTAATATTATTATTGTTTATTCTTTTTAGATATTGGTTGCTAACAGTTCTTCGTGCAGGTGAATCTATACCACCTAAAATTGAACTGAAATTAGCTCGATTATATAAGACTGCATTTTTAAGACAACAACAACGTCATCTTGGACTTTTACAAACAAATACACGATTACGAAGAAGTACAAGAGGACACGCACTTGTTAAAACTAAGGTATATATGAATCTGACATATTTAAATTTGCATGTTTTTAAAATTAAAAATATGAATAAATAATTTATAATAAGTAATAAGATTTTTTAATATATAAATATAATTTTTAATTTATATATTAAAAATATTAATTTATATATAAAATTAAAATCAAAATTTAAAAAAAAATATTCTTTAAATATTTTTTTAGTCAGAAATTGCTGATCAAAATGAAATATATGAAAATCCTGCAAACTCACCTACTAAATTGAGAGTTCAAACGAATTCAGAAGCTCAAATTTCAACAATGCCAAATAGCATAAAATTGGTTCAAGTATCTACTTTTAATAATACTCTTTTACCAACATCTAATGTTAATGATATTGAAAATCATAGTGAACATATTCAAATGGATAATTTTTATTTAAAAAGATTAAGTCTTATCAAAGATAAAAAAAATGTACCAACTACAACAGCATCATTAGATTTCAATGAAAATATCACAAATTACACAAATCAACATTCCTTGGAGAATAACGTATCCTTTAATTTGTCTTCCATGATGAATAATCTTCAAGATTATAAAAATAATTATTCAATGTCAGAACAAGAAGTATCTAATATTGATGGAAAGAATATAAGCAAACATTCTAAATTACGTTTATTAGATCATACTGGAGAGGAAACTGTTCAAGTTAGAATGCAAAATACAAGCATAACTGAAAATGGTGCCACAAAGTTGATTTACTCTGTTCACTTAGGTGGAAAACCTGTACCTGCAGAAACAGCTGCTAGAGATATGGCTCTTTTGTCATCCCAAGAAGTTGCATTGGAACTTGGTGCACCAGTTCTTATTCAAAGTGAACGTAAATGTCTATTTATAAATACATTTATCAATTATCTTTTGCAACTTTTTATTTTATTAATTGATCATCATGATATAAAAAAAAATTTACAGTACTTATAATTTTAGTTTTTTTATATTTAAAAAATTATATAATATTTTTAAAAAGAGATTAATATATTAAAAAATAGAAGTATGAACCGTTTTTAATAGGATTATCTTGTATTTTTTATAGCTTGTTTATTTTATTTTTATAGCTTATTTGAAAGAAACACGACCATTGGCTCTTTCAAGAAAAAGAGATGCATGGCTATTAATTGGTGCAGCAAGTGCTGGTTTTATTTTGTTAGCATTTGTTGTGATGGGATTAATTTTTGCAGCAAAAAGAAAAAGAGCACATAGTGCAGTAGCTGCACCTCCAAGTCATCATATTTTAAAGAAAAAAAGAGAATATATACAAGCAACTGTTGATAATAATGCCTGTTCAACATCGGAAATGGAAATTAAGGTATATTTATTTAATTAATATGTATATTGATTAGTTTTTAATATCAATTATAATTTAAAAAATTATAATTTGCTTAATAGTTTGTATAATATTAATTATACAAATGCAAAATTTTCGAAAGAAAATATATATTCATATAATAAATAATAAAATTATATATTCATATTATAACGAATCTAGACTCATTATAACAAAAATAGACAGTTAAAATTACAGAGAATCATAGCAACAAACTTATGTATTTGTTCTTGATGATGATAATGAGTTATTGACATCAGTGAAATAATGTATTTTCTTCTAAATTGATTTGTTATGAATAGTCCTATTGATCTTTTGCAAATTCTATCCTTCTTTATAGACTGACGGTACCAGTCAGAGACAAACCCTTGGTAGTTTGTCGAGAACTCCAGTCTCTATTGAAACTCCCGATAGTCTTGAGGCAGGAATTCATGAAGTTTCGAGCGACAACGACGACGAACAAAAAAGTAAAGTACGGGAATCAAGTCCGTGGGAACATTCTCTAAAAAAATCAAGGTATAATAAATTATAAAAATAATAAAAAATGAATTTTCTAAAATTGTTTATATATTTTTTTATTAAATTTTAGATTCAATTGTACTTATATTTTGTATTTTGAAAATAATTTTAAATTTTATAATAAATTAATAAATATTTTAAATTATTTATTTTATATTAAATTGATAAATATAATTAATAAATATAAGTTTTTGCATTTATTATAAAAAATGTAATTTGTAATATTTAATGTATTCTTAATTGATATTGTTTAATTGTAGACTCATACATGGAAGAATGTCTCAAACAAATGCCATTGATACACCTCGAACTTCTGATTCAACAGATGTAATTGTAGATCATTTAGAAACGTTAGATTCTTTGGAAAATAATTATACAAAACAAGAAGAAGCTACTGCTTCACCATATTCTTATCTTTCTATGCCATCTTGTAAGACATTTCCCAGCATGAAAAGTGTTGAACCACTTTCCAGAGTATTGGAACCAGTTATGGTGAGCAAATTTTTATATTATTTATTCTATTTTTATTCTTAATTAAAATTATAAGGAATACATAATATTAAATATAAAATTAAAAATTAAAATTATTAAAATAAAAATATTAAAAATGATTTATCATTTCATATTTGTCACAATTTTTATGTTATTAAAATTTTTTTAATATATATATATATATTTGTTTTATTTAGGTCAAACATTTAGATATAGATTCTCCAAAAGAAATGAGACGAGAAAAAGATCATTTTGATGTTTATAGAGATGATGAAGATAAATTTTTTGCGCGAACTTCAAGTGCAATCAAAGATCCTGGAGTTGTAGGTCCTATAGTTTGGAATCTTCGAAAACAAAACTTATCTGCTGAAAGTACGATTTTTTTTTAATTTATTTATTATACTAATTTATTGATAATATTTTTTATATTATTTTTCTATTATTATATAGCTTTGTTTTTAATATATTTTTATATATTTCAAGTGCATTATAGAAATTGATATAATGAATTAAAATAAAAATGAATTTCAAACTTATTTTATTTTATTTATATAATTTATTCATACTTATTTTTACATTTTAAAATTAATTTTTAAATAATTTTTAGTAATTTCTTAGTAAAACACATATAAAAAATATTATATATATATATATATATATAT